ACTTTCGTGTGAGCTATTTTGGATCAAGTATGTGAGCAGTGAAAAATATCCTGAACTGAAAAACTTGGCCATCAAACTTTGTACAATGTTTGGATCAACGTACACTTGTGAGTCTGCATTTTTAAGGATGAACTTTATCGAAAATAAATACAGATCTCGCCTCAGCAGTGACAGCTACCTCAACAACCTAATGAGAATCAGCTGCACAGGACTCATTCCAAACTTTAAAGAAGTGGCCCAGAATAAAAAATGTCATTTCTCTCACTTAGTTTGAATACTCATATGTGAGTAATCTTTATGTATAATTTCTAAGTGAAATTAAATTTTATGACACAATTTATAATTTGTGATTTTTTTCCAAACCTAAAAAATAGGCTATTTTCTGATAAATTCAAACTTTTATATGGTATTTTGGCAACAAAAAAATGTTACAAATAGCATGCGCAAATAGGCTTAAATCACACCATTTTAACTGAAATTTTGAAACCGGACCCCCCTCTTGGCTGGGGGGTATTCCATACCCCCCAGACCCTCTGTCGAGCTTGACTAAGGGAAGGCTCTGAATGTGACTTTTTTAGTGTTTCGCTTATATATCGGAATCTGTATGTCATATTGAAAAGTTTTAAATACAAAAGTTATAGCTGACAAAATTCTCTAAAAAAATTACTCTATGCATTTTTTTGTAGGACTTAACCGTTTAAAGCTAAAGGTTAAAGAAAAATAACATTATATTGAAATCTTTTTTTACTTGCATTTCTGTTTTTAAAGGTAATATTACTAAAAATAATTTTAATGATTACAAACATGGGTCATTTAGTTTAACCCTTTGCGGTCGTATGCCGGGTATGACCCGGGTTTATAGTCTGCCCCGAACGGTCGTAACCCGGGAAATACCCGGCAGCACTTTAATAGGTTGTTTTTTAATTGTAAATACTGTTATTTAATTAATGATACTGTTCTGTGGCGTTTTTAGGGTTTTCATTTTATTACATATAGCTTTTTCTATATTTGGTATTATTTATAAGCCTTTGGAGTAGGAATTTAGCGAACGATGACCGTGACTTATTGTTGCTCTCTGGACAGCTGACGGTTGTAAACAAACATGTATCGTGCGGGCGAGTGTCTAGGTGATGATGATATTGAAAATCTATTAGAAGATGATAATTTGAGTGTAGTTAGTGGTTATAGTGTCGGAAATTATGAAACTATAATTGAAAATGATAGTAACGCAAGTGAAAGTGATGAAAATGAAGAAGTGATTGATGGTGTTGAAATCGAACGTGGAGCTGGTGACACAATTGGTGTTGGTGTAGACTCTGATTTTGTTTATGATTTCGATGATAATATTGATTTCAATAGTTATGATTTGAATATACAACAAACTGCAAATAAAAGTATTATTTTTGAAGCTAAATTTTTGAAGAAATTAGGGCATGTAGCAGTCTAGGGGAAGTGGTAGGCCTATATGTCGCGGTAGACCTATATGTCGTGGTAGTACCACACTCTCAAAAAGTACAAATAAAATGTAAGTAAAACCAATTTTATTATGGTGTGGTTGACTTTTTCTTATATCTATACATGTCAAACAATTAAAAAATATATATTTTTCAATTTAAAATTTTTTTATTGTTGTTTTTATGAATTTTTTAGCTTTTTATATTTTATTTTTGTATATTGATATATTATTTATATATATATATATACACATAAAACATATATGCCTAAAATATATATTTTTAATTTATAATACATTACTATACACATAAATAACAAAAAAAAAAAAAAGTTAACAGATTAAAAGTTTAAAATATTAAATAATGTTGTTTTATCATAGTTTGCTAATCTGTCCAGATTTAATTACGATCTGAGTAAGATTGCTATTAAAATTAAACCGACCACAAAGGGTTAAACTAGGTGATCCAGGGATTCTTCTGTATCAACCACTTCCGATAACGGAATCGTCGTCTACCGGAGGGCCATTGGTGCACGCTCCCTTGCAGTTCTGCACATTGTTCAGTAGTGGCACCCACAACGTGTTCCACAACCTTTTGTACAATTGCAAAAGATTGTTGTGAGGATAGCGGCCGGAGTAGCAAGATCTAGGGTAGTAAGGGGTTGTAATTGTCCTTCGGTGCCCGTTGTCTAACCCCAATCAGTTAGTGGTAGTTTATTTCCCACCCATTCTTGCACTTGCAAATATACTCTATACGAATGCTGCTGGGCAGAGCCTTTTGTTGGTGGCAGAGATGGGTGGTGCGTGGAGGTGCCTTCAGCCTAGTGGTGGATTTGATGAATGCGATGTATCGGTGTCTGCCCAGATCTTTTGCTCGGGATTTGTACATCACTAGGATCATCCACTCACCGTCTATCGAGACATCCTTTTGCGCCAAAGTCGGGCCGTAAAATACGTTGGTGATGGTATCGAGACAATTTGACAATTAATGACTTGCCTTTTCTGATAAATGATGAGGTGGTAACACACCCACTAAACCCGTGAATTAACAATAAACTTCTGGCAAACTCACATTTCTGTAATTCAACAGAGGAATAACTTCTACTTTCTACTTTAGGCTACATTTTTCCTGGTTTGGCAAAGATAGTTTCTTCTTGCTCGAGTGGAGCTAATGCAATCAGCAGGACCAGCAAATTTGTATCCTCTCCAACGATAGCAACATGACCACTGAATGCTGCTTTTTTCACTGCACAACGCACAATTGTTGTATCTGCAACGTCTGACCTCTATAGCCTCGGAGACCACTTTCTGTGAAAGCATATTGATGAACCTGTTTTTTTTTTTTTTTTTTTTTTGTTATTACAAAGAATGTTTTCTTCCTGTACTCTCACTGTCATTTCTTCAGTGAAATCAATGCCTACTGATACGGTCTTGGTGGTGGCTCTTGTCCAGCATATTTTGTGCCGTTGACAGTATCTGAGTAACCATTAAACACAACAGTGCAGAATTCACCATAGTGTTTCTTTATGTACGTCACATATTGGTTGGTCACAAGTTGAGCCTACGCTCCACTTAACCCGACGTAGCAAAAATCCACCATCAATAACATTAATTTAGAGCTTAAGGTCTGGAGTTAACTAGTGAACATGGAAAAAATCATATAAAAAAGACTTGTGTCTTTCTCATCTCTCTTGACAAACAGAGCTATAAGGGGTAAGGCGCAGCTTGTAGCACAGAAGGACCTCTAGATCATCGTTGTTTTTCATTGAAATTGCAAGTCGTTGAAATTCGAGTAGTGGATCCCACCACATGCACTACGTTATTAATTTTGATAGTGCTGCTCATTGAGGCCAATGATAAAACTTTGTCTTTTGGAGCCTGTTTCATCTTCCATGCAAATAAAACACCATTTTTATATACTGTTATTTTCTTTACCCTTTAGCTTTAAACGGTTAAGTCCTACGAAAAAATGCATCTGGTCATTTTTGTAGGGAATTTTGTCAGCTATAGCTTTTGTATTTAACACTTTTCAATATGACTTCCGATGAGATGACTTCAATATGAGATTCCGATATATAAGTGAAAAACTAAAAATGTCACATTCAGAGCCCTTCCATTAGTCAAGCTCGACCCCCACCCATCAGGACTTTTTATTTTCTTCAATCTAATGATCAAAAGGAACGTTTAAAAAAACTTCCAACTCTCCGGGAATTATTTCACCCGATTAGTCTAATTTAACTGGGCTAAAAGTGCACCGCTAACTTACCCAGATAGTAACAAAAACAAAATGCCCAAACTCTATACTAAAAAAATATTCAGGCCAGAGCCATTTTAATGCGCTTGGATTGTGACATTTATAAATTCGGCTTATATTTATCTAGCCCTAATACGGACCATGGCCCACTTGGTTGGCCTTAAGTGAGATTTGTGAAAATAACACCACACTTCGACTGTAAAACAAATTTCAAGAAGAATAATTACCATTTAAGCAGTTACTGTCATGACAGAAAGTTCGTATTCCTTTTGAACTAGATATATTCATTCTTTCTGAGATAGGTTGATTAACAACAAAGCATTTAAACGTCACTATTTACAGTACACTAACAATTTACAGTATTTGCTTTTTGGAAATGCAGCATTGCTTTGTCATTTGCATTATTTGTTGCCAATGAAGCCGCATTATATTTATCAAAAAGAAGATAAACCAGTTAACATAGCTTATACAATAACTTATATGACGGACGGTATAAGAAAAATTTGTTATTAATTGAATGATCAACCATATTTTGTAACTAACACAACAGTCATTATTGTTTCTTCACCTATTTATTACTCATTAAAACAATGCTAAATGTTCACATTTTTTCTAATTTCACTCTTTTTGTTGCAGTTAGAAGAATAGTCGTAAGCCTTTAAAGCAAACGTTGATTTCGACGGGTTTCACCTAGTAATTAATAACTCTATAATGTAAAAATATGTAATAAATTGAAATTGTGATAAACATAGATGATCTTACTTAAATGTCAAAGTACTTCTCGCACAGCATTTTTCTCAACTCCAGTGAAAGAAACCCTTTTTCATGCTCAGCTCACCAATGACAGACAGCAGATGAAAAATATAAAATAAACAAAATCATGTTAGTTTCGAAATGTCTTAATTTCACAGCGGTCTTTTTGGTGACAATGATTTTCGATCGATTTTTTAGCTCCAAAATTGTCTATCCTAGTTGTAAAAATTAATCAGGATTTATCGTACTGTATATGCCAAAATTCAGTTAGCAAGACATCAAATTCACAAAAACCACTATTGCAACTGCAAAAGTTAAACCATCTATTAATTAGGCAATATAATACTTTATATAGTAATGTATATGATTTATATTTTTCAATATATTAGGACGGATACATCCAGCTAGTAAAATGTATTACTCTTTGAAATTGAATGTTTGATTTGTTATCTTGCCACTCAATGTTAAATTTTGTTTAAATAATTGGCATGGAATTAAAAATAATAATTCTGTTATTGCATTCTCTCTCTGATTTTCCAGACGAGTCACTTCCTTCAAGACAGTGGCTACGCAGAACAGAACGGTACAATGATAACCAATGCTCTGCTGGCTCTGAAACAGTTCCCAGTAGCATTGACAAAGGAGGAGAAACTCATGATTGTGAACTATCCACCAACCACAAACCTCCAACTCTCTCTGGTTAGCTACTCTTATCTCATGTAACATAAAATATTATTCATTAGTTCAACTAGTGTAAAATTCATGACTGCATCAACTCTTTTTCTGCACCGGTGTGAGATGCATGGATTGATAAATGCGACTGGTTTTGTAGTAGTGTCCATTTAAGAGCCGAGAGTTGATGTGGTACAGGCTGGACAAGTTTTTATACAGATATTAAATTTTTTTACCTTTCTTGACTTTATTATTTACTAAAATAAGAAATTTTCATCATTATTTTCAAGATACCAAAACACTACAAAATACATGATGCAACATTTCCTACAGTTAGGCTACAACGTAGTTCGAAACAAAGTGCAATGATAAACTTTTATTCACACTAAAGTACACAAAATGACCTTACTGATGAATGGTCAACGAAATTATCCGTATAGTAAAAACAACCAAACAACTAATTTTAGGGATTGGATTAGAAAAATAAAACTAACAAGTCAAAGACAGGATGCATTAGTATTTGACCATAAGCAAAAATATAGAACCATCATTATCTCATTATCACACATAATTTATATTTACACAAAATAGAAGCACGTTCACATTATGCACTATCTACCAGCTCTGTTGTAGATACTCTCAAAATTTGCTTGCTCTGAAAAACATACACACTTTTGTAGAGATTGTTGTGTTGATCTGAAAGTCATAAGTCTGTACTTATATACCACATAGGTATGCAGAGTTTGGTTTTCCTGGTGTAATCCATTAAAAAGTTAATAGGGGGTCTCCATACTTTTGCCCAACCCTGTGTTATTGTAATATTGGTATAATATTGGTATATTGGAATAATGAAATGTGTTTTTTTTCAGATTGTCAGAGATGTTGACGATAGATTAACAGAAGAGCAAATGCAGGAATTACTAAACCTCATACAGATTTATCTTTTGTCTGAAAATAATAGGAATAAATAATTATACCAACATCCAGAACTTTGTTATATCCTTCATTTAACAAACTGATTGGATAAGATCAGTGTTTCCATCGCTCTCCAGTTTGTACAAAACTTCTGAAAGAAGCTTTTGACTATACTTTCTGTTAAAGCACTCTATTACCCCTTGGTTGATTGGCTGTTGGAGGCTTGTTAAGTTGGGGGGCAGATAGTACAGTTTTATTCCAGACTCACCATCACATTCTAAACTCATCCGGATGGGTAGGCGCATTGTCAAGAACAAGAAGTGCGTTTACAGGGAGTTTTAAACTCAACAAACCACTTTTTACTTTAGGCACAAACCCACTAACAAACCACTCTTTAAACAAATACGAGTCCATCCAAGCTGACTTCTGAGCCCGGTAGTACACTGGTAGTTTTGACATGTCCAAGATTTTTAATGCTCTCGGTTTTGCTGATTTCCCAATTACAAAAAGCGGCAATTTATGGGTACCATTGGAGCATTGGGTGGCATTGGAGCAAAGTGCCACTGTGATCATTTACTGACCTTAAACCCAGGGCGGAAATTTCTGTTGCTGCAGCAAATGTTTTCCTTGGCAAGAGTTTATAGTACAGTCTCGTTTCATCGATATTGTAAACCTGTTCTGGGCTTAGGCTAGCAATAACTTGCTCAATTTTTTTGAAAATTCAGCTGCACCAGCAGGGTCTGCCGATAGCTTTTTGCCGCACACTTCAAGAAAATGAACACCATGTCTCTTTTTCCAATGGAAAAGCCATCCTTCACTAGCCACAAATTCCCCCTCCTCCTGGTTGAAGTTCATTCACTACGCTCACTCACCTTAAGGTTGGAGCTCATTCGCTGCGCTCACTTGCCTTCAGGTTAGCTCGTTCGCTACGCTAACTCGCCTCCAGGTTCAAGTTTGTTCGCTACGCTCACTCACCTTTTGGTTGCAAATTAGCTGTCATAAATTTTAAAAAATAATAGTTTGGTAGTCCTTGTAACTTTAATGCTATTGAACATCATAGAACAGAACCAACTTGTTTAATTGAAACAGCTGTTAAGATTCATTAATTCCATTTAAATATGAGTAGGCCTACTCATAAGGTTAACATGGGAAACTCCAGAGCCACTGGGGCGGAGCCCGAAAGCATTTTATCTAAATAATAATAAAATCATATGATTTCATAGGTTTTGATGACTTTAGATTTCTTCTGTTTTAAATGGTTTTTATCCTACTACAGTATAATATTATAAATGAGAAAGTTTGGATGTATGGATGTATGTTTGTGACAAGTGAACGCGAAAAATACTGGTCGGATTGGGCTGAAATTTGGCATGATGATAGCTCACATTCCCGATTAACATATAGGCATATTCTTATTTCAAAAATCCTTTCGGGCTCCACCCCAGTGGCTCTGTAATTCCCCATGTTAACCTTATGAGTATTCATATTTAAAGGGAATTAAAGAATTTAGTCAGCTATTTCAACTAAAAAAGTTGGTTCTATGATATGGAAAAGCATTAAAAAGTTATAAGATTTACCAACAGGGTGCAGCACTATATTTTTCCCATGTTAACCTTATGAGAAATGAAATTATTGAATCTTAACAGCTGTTTCAATTAAACAAGTTGGTTCTGTTCTGTGATGTTCAATAGCATTAAAGTTACAAAAATTACCAACAGGGTGCAGCACTATTATTTATTTTACATTTATGACAACAGCTAATTTGCAACCAAAAGGTGAGTGAGCGTAGCGAACGAACTTCAACCTGGAGGCGAGTTAGCGTAGCGAACGAGCTAACCTGAAGGCAAGTGAGCGCAGCGAACGAGCTCCAACCTAAAGGTGAATGAGCGTAGCGAACAAGCTCCAACCTAAAGGTGAGTGAGCGTAGCGAACGAGCTCCAACCTAAAGGTGAGTGAGCGTAGCGAACAAACTTCAACCAGGACGTGATTGAGCCATGCAAACGAGATACTGTAATCTTGAAAATTAAGAAGTTAACCCTCCCAGTGTTACTTGACGAAAATTCGACAAGCAGCACACTTTGTGTAGTGTTACTTGTCGATTTTTCGACACGCAGACAGTATACGGCGAAGGCTCTATGACTGACTGAATTGGATTGAACTGGATCGAGTTAGGTATCGTTCTTTCCAAAATATTCTAAGCTTTCTCCAGAGGTCTGTCTCTAAGCGCTATTCATTTTAGTTCTGAAAATATTGTAGCAGACAGCTGACGTGCGTGTATTTGTAAACAGCTAGGTTACCCTCGGACCGATGACTGATGTGTTTTATTACGTTTATCATTGTTTTAGTGTTAAAAATCAAATGTAGTGATATACGTGGTGCATTATAAGAAGATTTAAGTGGTTTTGAAGTGCTGGTTGATGATCCTGAAGAAGTAGGTAGTGATATATGTAAATTATCAGCCAGATTCCTGGCTATGGTTAGGCTATGCATTCTTAGCTAAACGCTATGTACTGAAATCAGTTTTTTGCCCATAACTTATTTATTTGCAAATCTACTTCCTTATATTATTATATATTTGTAATCCTCATAAAATTTAGAACAAAGTGGCTATTTTCAAATATTTATAGGCCTATAATTTATACAATTTCATTGAGCGCAAACTTATTTTTTTTTTCAATTTTTCCAAAATATTTTTTTTTTTACCTAAATAAATTTGTTGAAACAAATATTCCTTATGTTTTATGTATGATATTGAAGCCCATGATTTTCCAAACAAAATGGTATATAGAACATTAGAATTAACATTGTTTTAAGCTTCTCAGATCTGTTTTGATAAAACCTTGCAAATGCGCCAAAAATAGGTGGACATTAAGGCCTAAACTATGGACACTTGGAGGGTTAAACGGGGCAAAGCCCGCGGGTTACAGCTAGTACTATATATAATGATTTTAAAACAGAAGAAATCTAGTCATCAAAACCTATAAAATCATATGATTTTATTTATTATTTAGATAATGTTTATTGTATTTGTTAGATATAAAAAACAACATGACTATGACATAATTGTCAAAACTAGTAGTTATTAAATAAAACGAATTTCAAAAAAATGGTACTTAGTTTTTAATATTTTTCATTCATTAGAAGATTCTTTTTTTTAAGCTAGAAGTTTAGAAGATAAATTAGCAGAGTGAAGAACGTGTGTAGTTAGTTACGATTGTATTATGTTGTGTATATTTTCTTGAACAATGCCAGGTATTAAGAAGTGTTCTTTTATTGGTTGTCTGTCTACTTGCACTAACAGTCCAAATTTAAGATTTTTCAAATTTCCCAAATTTCCCATTTATAAGGAACCTGTGACAACACAACTAGTCATGGACTATGGATATACACCGGTTGTTACACAGCAGTCTGCTCTAACTACCGCCTCTACAATCACCACTGTCTCGCTGTAGCTGCTCCTTCATCATCTAGCGATACTTCTACTGTCAATGTTGTAGGTTTTGAATTTCCTCTAAATTTCCACAGAAATCACATGTAATCCAACAGATACACCAGTAAACGGAGAAACAACTATACCACAACATGACAATTTAACACCGACTTTGACAGCTTTCAACTAAAACTAACTTACTACTACAACTAACTTTGAGGGAAGTTAGGCTAAAAAAAATTGATTGAAAAAAAGAAAAACCTTCATCGCTTTAAACAACGTTATCGAAGAGAAAAACTGAAGCCCGTGTCAAAAGAAGCTGCTTTCTTAGCTGCCAGTCAGTATATCAAAAGCGATGCCTTAAATGGCGACTTTTGAGAATGGAAATGTTCCACAAAAAGCTAACTAGCTGGAGTGAAGAAGAGAAACAACTGTCAATAGAAATGCACTACCAATCACTGACGCTATACAACAGCTTACGAGATGACAAAAAAATGTCCCTTCCAGACACCAGTACAATATCTTGGTGGTGTAATATTTTAGATTTTAATACAGGAATATCCAAAGAATTATTGAATTTGTTAAAACATAAAGTGAGTACAATGTCAGAAATGGAAAAAATACAGTTCTGTTATTTGGTGAATTGTCAATAAAGAAGAGCTTATGTTATAATGAGAAAATCAATTTAAACGAAGGAGTTGAAAACCTTGGGATACTGGGACGTTCTGATCGGATAGGCACGCATGCATTATTCTTCACCATAAGAGGACTTTTTTAAACAAGGAAAATGCCGTTTGCTTATTTCATATGTGCATCTGTGATTGATGGGGCCAATTTAAACGTACTCATCATGGACGTATTGAACGCACTTTTTAGCATAGGGCTAAATGTGCGTGTCCTAGTGTTTGACCAAGGAAAAAACAACTCGCGAGCCGTCAATTTGTTGAACGTGTCCCCAGAAAGACCCTACTTTTCGTATCAAGATAGGAAAGTATTTTTTGTATATGACGCACCATGTATCAAGAAATGCATCAGAAATAATCTTATGAAACATGACATCAACTATGATGGTGGAACTGCCTCTTGGATGCACATTAAGGCTCTGTATGATATTGATTCAACAGACAACAAGGCTCGAGCTGTTTGCAAACTGCCTGAAAAACATATTAGTCCGAACGCCTTTGAAAGTAAAGTATGCTACGCAAGTCTTCAGCCAATCAGTGAAAATTGAAAAATATCCCTATAGTCTATCCAAAGTATAAGAAAGGAGAGCAGACAAATATATCAAACTATAGACCGATATCTATCCTACCAACATTGTCTAAATACATTGAAAAAAGCATACATAACCAATTGATGAACTATCTAGAAAATAATAATAAAATTTCCCAATCACAAGATGGATTTCAAAATGGTAAATCTACCAACACAACATTAGCAACCCTTTGTGATACAATAACTGATGTATGGGGAAAAAATCCCAAGCAACCGGCATCTTTTTAGACATAGAAAAAGTATTTGACAGCTTGGACAGGAAAATTCTTATAAAAAAGCTTCAACAACTTAATATAACTGATAAAGCATTGGATTGGATACAAAACTATTTAACTAACAGGAAGCAGCAAGTCAAAATAGAATACACAA